TGAAATGCAGGTTGAAGATTTCTGCCAGCTTTGAGCTGGCTCTACACTGACCTGCAAACGCCAAGCAATGGGGCAGAGAGGCAACAGAACGTGTCTTTGAAACAAGTTTTACAATTTGGTTTTGTTTCAGCAGGGGAAGAGGAAAGCAAGAATGCAGAAGATAGATAGGTACGTTCTGTGCTTTTAGGAGAGAAGGGAAGAAAAAGAGGCAAAGAGGTGTTTGGTGTAGAGAAGAAGGGTTGAGACAGCAAGAGGCATGGGAAGAAGAGTGCTGAAGAAGCAGCAGAATTCCTTCTGTTGTGAGACAGTTGGGGATAAGGTGAGGAAGAAAGAAGACGGTTTTTAGGCATGGTTTACATGAGGAACTAATATGAAAAGGTTTTTTGAACCTTTGCCAGACGAATCTTGGATATGGTTGAAATCCAAGTACCTGTGGTGCACTTCAGTCAACTAACACATTGGAGCATAAGTCAAGAGTAGAGGTTGGATTGACCATGCCATCAGCTATCCCCTCTGCTCCCCAGAGTAGCCAGTATCACCAGTGTTTTACTGTGATTTGTGGTGTCCTAGCCCTCATGTTTTCTTAAATAGTAGAGGTTAACTGATAGTAATTTTTTTCATGTCTGTGCTGGATGTTTTGTCTTTTCATCCAAGATGTTATGCAGATGGATTTTGAGGATCTTCTCCATCTGCCTAGTATTTCTGACAGCTTCATTGAATCTAAGCTACTGTTTATACACAGTAACTTCAACCATGCTACTGTACGCCCAGAAATCCTAGGTATGTCTTTAGCGTATGCCTGCTGTGGCTGTGTCTAATGCCTCTGTGAAACATGGAATGCAGATGCAATAATCTCATATAGGCCATAGTACAGATGCATAGTCTTCTACAAAGTCTCTGAATTCTAGCCCTAATCTAGGAGAAGAACAATGTAAGGAGACAGCCAGGTTTGAAAAAATTGGCTGCCAGCAGTACAGCTGTATTTACTAATAATTTGCTTCAAATCAAGTGTAGACACACATGTGATAAAAATCAGCTACAGAATTACATGCATAACAGATAGAACTTTGCCAGTTTTTTTCAGGTGAGTCTTGATTATAGTAAGATTGAAAGGTACTGGATTAGCGAACCTGACCATTGAACTCAGGGCTATGGTTCAAAGCTTGCTGGTCTGATCCCAGTTCCTGGTGTAGAGACAGATCCTAGTCAGCTAACTTTGGAAAAGGATTCTACTGCAGCCAGCAAAAAGTATTATTAAAGAACTGGTGATTATTTAACTTTTCTAAAGCCAATCTGACAAAGCAAAGCACAAGAAGAGATAAGATTTACTGGGGAGGTAAACAGATCTATACCAGTTTCTGAATGTAGGGTATTGTTGTGAGGTAGTCTTGCCACTAGATGTCGCTGTCAGTACAATGAGGGGGAAAACTGAAAAATAAGAGGCGTAAACCAAAAAGTTGCTTTTGTGCACTTTTAACAAAGGAAACCTTCAAATTGGCAAATCTAGCTTTTAACTGATTGAATGAGTTTCCTGTTAGGAGAATGGGATACTTGCTGTTTCCTTACTGCCTTCATGTCCCTCACTACCTGCCATATACAAACACAAGAGCTTATGAAGTAAATTCAGCTGAAGCCATGTTAAGACTGCAAAGCATGGAAGAGAACGCAAATGCTTATTACTCCATCAGGCATGTGTACCTTCAACAGATTTGGTTAAATTAGGGGCTTCTTTTAACTTACTGCAACGTAGCAGAAGTGAGACTAAGCTATTATTAAGATGAAGGGATAACATTAGCTACAAGGAGTGGGAGAACGTGCAGAACTGAGAGCAGGAAAAAGAAAGCATAAAGTAATTTAGTTATTAAAGCTATGTTTTGAGCTATGTTTTGTTCATTTGCTTTATGAATGTGTTTATGAGGTCACAGATCTAGTCAACACTTAGGCATCACGATTCTTCCAGCAGATAAAAGATTCTGTGGATTCTGTCAGAGCTCAGGAATAACTTGTGTTATCTAGATGTCACAGAAGAGAAGTCAAAAGAGGATGAGCCAAGCCAAACTTAATCACCAAATCACTACTAAAGTGGTTTTAAGCTTAATAAATAAGCCTTACAACTACGTATTATACAACCCAAATCCTCCAGAACAGAAGGGAAGCCAGACAGATCCAAGAACAGAGATGAACTTGTCTGATAGATATGGCAATCCATGTTTCCATGTTATTAGCAGAACGTGTATAAATATTAAAGTACTTAGCTAATCATAAGAAGCCAGTTCTACCTGACTGTCTACTAGACACAAGAGAATGAACCTTGTAAAGCCTGGCGAAGCAATCACTGCTTGGCTGAGCGAGGCCTGGCTGGAATCCACCAAAATTCAATTCAGGACTTGATTTGGATCAGGTGCAAGGGAAAGAAGGATTTGTTCATTCTTGCAGTCTGCCAAATCTTTTTCCACACACGCGGAGCCAGTGTTCCACCATGCTGTGGACTCTAGCTGCCTCTGGAAGCTGAGCAGCATCAAATGTGCCGCTTACTCAGCAGAGGCAAGCCTCTGTATTTCAAGGTAATGTACTCCAGAAGAGACAGACCCAACGTCAGAGATGTTTTGGTGATGCAGATGACTGCTGGTGAGTATCTGCTCACAGAGATACTTCTCTAGCTATAGGCTAATCCTGGGCAGCAACAAATATGGGAAATGAAGCACCTGAATAGTATCTTTCTCCATCCGGCCTCTGCTGCTGAG